TAAGATCGTTAGTTACGCTATTCGCCATTTCTCACTGTCCTTATTACTTTCAATATATCTTGCGAGTATCATATTTTCCAAGCCCTCTTTCCTTAATTATGCTTACAAGAAATTTCAACTGTTTTTTTTTTCTGATTTTAAACACAAGACTTAAAACTTTCTCGTTACTCAAATCTTTCGTCCACGGTATTCTTGCCATATAGGTGGATTGATATTAGATAACAATTTAGCCAGGGCCGGGGCGTACAACACCTATAACTCCTCTCCATGTCACAATAAGTACTCCGGTTTCTTTTGCACTGGGCACGTTGAGCTTATCACGTCCCTCTTCGTTGAGAGGTGGATTTGTTTTTGAAGTTACCTTCTTCTAGCCTTTGCCTAAAGAGGCTGAACCTACAAGACAGCAGGTGGTTTGAATCCAGAGTTTCAGTCTCCTAGACTGGTTGCCACCCAAGGCTATAGGATCCAGTCTGTCCTGATATTTTACACATAACTAAAGTGGAATAGATGGATTCATACCTTTCTCAATAGTATTAGTAATTATGTGAGTGTAAGGAACTCGACTGGAATCTGAAATTTTGACGTCATTCTGGGGTTTTTTTCTGTAAAGACTGCTAAATCTTGAAAAAAAAAACACTATTTAAAATCGACTATTTTGTATCCATAATGTCGAATGTGCTAAAATTCTTCAACATTTTAACAAGAAAAATTGAAAGTTGATGCTAAAAACAGCCGCAAAACATTGTTGATTTATTTAAGATGGAATGATATATTATGATATGATGTATTTAAAATCGAATGATCTATTATGATATGTCTCTAATTTGTATTTAGATAGACTATATTCATTGGTCACCTAGATTTTATGATCCACTATTGTACTTAATTAGGATACAATAAAATTTACATTATACGACCTCATGAAAATTGAGATAGAGGATAGTGGGTGGCATATCATAGATTGGGGGCGTATGATAGATTCGATCGGGGAAAATGATTCTTGCACAAGGCCTGAGTACTCTAACGAAATCTTACTGTTTCTTAATATTTCCTTTAGCTATTGTTAGGCAAAATTCACTAATCCAGTACGGCTTCGGATTCCGGTATCACATTTTCTATAATCTGTCGTAAGATTAAATAGAGAAAGTTACATTTTTGATTTTGACTTCTTCAAACCGTAATTCACAATTTTGTTTGACCCTCTTGCTAACAACGATATCTTCTATTCACTGGCAATTGAGTGTTCAACCTTTCTTATTGCTTTTTTTTTACATCTGTTAGATCTTTTACATCTTGCTAACAACCATATAATTTATTCACTAGCAATTGAGTGTTCATACTTTCTTACTGCTTTCTTTTACATCTTTTACATCTTGCCAATAACCATATCTTCTTTTTCCTGGCAATTTAGGGTTCATCCATTCTTACTACTTTCTTTTACATCTTTTACATCTTGCTAACAATCATATCTTCTATTCACTGGCAATTGAGTGTTCATCTTTTCTTACTGCTTCCTTTTACATCTTTTACATCTTGCTAACAACCATATCTTCTATTCACTGGCAACTGGCTGTTAATCCTTTATTATCGCTTTCTTTTACATATTTTCATTCGAGTTAATGGCAGGAAAAAAGATAAATGACGGAACTTCTTAATAAGTTCTTTTTAGATACTAAAGTTCACCCATTACAAACGTCGAGTGTCAGTGAAGGCATTTGATTACTGCTAGAACAGTTATGATGTATCAGATGCGTGATATGAATGAAAGAGGAGGTTATAGATTGTGAGGATTATGGGACTAAATAAGATAGATAACGACTGATCATTAACTCGAAGAGGTCAAGATTGTATATATATATATAACAACTGCATTAACAACATTTACTTGGGGTTAAATTACATCGCTTAACACCTTCCATAGTTTACCTTTACTTACACAGTTACTCTAAAGTATATTTTTGACCTTTTTTAAGTTTGACATTTTTAAAATCATAACGGTGTTTTTACTTTTATTTATACATACACCTTACAAAATAAAATCTTTACATTAACCTTGACAAAGTCCATCAAAGGACGAAACGCGTTGGCAAAGAAAACTTTTCTTTTAGTCGTTATTCATATTATCTTTTTACTGATATATTTTATTTATATTTGAGTTTTTTATACCCGGCCCATGCACACATGTGCGCACACACGCACACATATACACACCACATACACACAACACACGCAACCTGAATTTTTTTATGTGTATTTGTTTTTTTATATATTAAACACATCTATAAGAATAGTGGGTACTGATGTCAACATATAGTGGCGATAGCCTGGTTCATGCTTTAGCGTACCTGAAGATTATATTCCAGCATGAAACAGGCTATCGTCACTCGTTGTTGACATCAGTGTCCTCACTTCTGCTCTAACTCGGATAGTGAGCACTTTTACCCTATAAATATAGTATACCTTACAACTATATTTTATCATTTATTATATATATATATATATATATGTATGTATTAACAGTATTACTCTCTTGAACAACGTGGGATGACTCAACTTGTAGACACCAGAGGGCAAATTAGTACCCGAGGTAAAAATTGGAAATAAAAAAAAGAAGAAAGAACTAAAAACATCAGAGTAAGGCGAAACCAATCGCCAAGTGCTTTAAATCCTTCGTCCAAAAAAAACAAAACAAAACGAGTAGAAAGACTAAAACGTAGAGGGCTCAATACGCTAAGTAGAGCGGTAAATTAGAATAAATCCAAAATGAGCCAGGCAAACCTACCTAGGTTTCACATAAACGGATCTTCAGGGTAAACTGGCTAAACTTCAGTTTACCCTGAAGAGCCGTTTAGGTGAAACCTAGGTTTGGGCCTTTGCCTTATTCATTTGGATTTATTCTATATATATATATATATATATATATATATATATATATATATGAAGAAAAAAAATATTTGGAAAAAACAAACAAAAATCCTTAAATGCAATTATGTTGTTTTAATATGAATGAAATGTCAACGTCTGACGTTTCGGTTTAATAAACCTTCTTCAGGACAATATTCATTAAAATACAATTAACATAATTAGTTTAACTTGACAAAGACGATGGACATAAAAAACAAGTCTTATCCAAAACAGATAACTGAAAATTTTAAATGATCAGCTTTCCGTTTAAGCATGGTCACGTTGTCGTCAAATGGGCGACGCTTTCAAAACGTATTCCTAAAATTTGAGTATTTTAAATGAAAATGAAAATGAAAAGAATTCTATTATGATCTAAAATTTATATGTATGCTTGTCGAGCATTAATCTCGCTAAAAATGACATTTCAGACGTTGACATTTCATTCATATTAAAACAACATAATTGCATTTAAGGATTTTTTTTGTTTTTTCCAAATATTTTTCTTCATTCTGTCGGATCTATATCCATTATATATATATATATATATATATATATATATATATATATATATATATATATATATATAAAGTATAGATTGGTGTATACGAAATAAATTCCAATAACCAATAAATATTATTCTTAAAAGAGTGCTCAATACAGAGTAGACCAAATATAATTATTTATTCGAAAATTATAACATAATATGTTATAAAATCTCTACAAAAATAGTCATCTATCTATCTATCTATCTATCTATTTTTGTTCATTATCTATCTATATATCTATTTATCTATCTCAGTCTGTTCATTATCTCAGTCTGTTCATTATCTATCTGTTCAAATTTTTAGTTCTCTCAGAGTTCAAATTTTCAATCTGTTAAATGTCTGACTCTCTCCCCTTCTACATTTATCTCTCAATCTTATTTGGCCTTGTGTGTTGTTCATTTCGATATCAGAGTGATGGTGTTGAATGTAGAATAAAGAGTTTACATTCAGCATCATCACTTGATAAGACACCAGAAGTGTTGAAACAAAATGGCTATATTTGTAGTGATTTTATAACATTTATGTTGTAACTTTCGAATAAATAATCATATATATATATATATATATATATATATATATATATATATATATATATATATATATATGCTTTTAGGAAGTAACGATCGCCTTGGAGCAGTTTGATCATTACCGGCCAATTTGGGAACTGGACCGTGAGCATGATCTTGAGCAGTTTCTCAAAGATGACCCCCGATTATCGGAATTCGAAACTAAAATACGTTACCATGAACAACTGGAGGCTGAAATAATAAAAGAGCCAGAATATTACGATGTCGGGCCCATTGCTATGTACACAGGTGAGTGAATTTTTACATATCTATTTATTTGCGTGAATTTTAGCCTGCATAACGTAAATTGTTTTCAGGCCCACACCTGTTTACAAACCTAGACAAGTTAAATAAGCATCTTGTTGCTATCAGTCAATGTTAACATTAGCAGTTTCCTTATAAAGAAGCATTCGCCATTCATTGACCGAGTAGCTTGTGTTAATGCTGGTTGAAACAATTTTTCAGGAAAATAGGTTTGTAAATGTTATACCGGAACATACCTATTATATTGTTAATAGACTCTCCCAGATATAATAAGTAGTAGTAGTAGCAGTCGCCAGGGGGCTCAGTGAGTTGGTCTGAGTTCAGTCTGAAGTCGGACGACCAGCTGACCGGTTGAACTCTCTGCCTTCGGACGGGGAGGAACCCGAACGAGGCTACGCCTTTGACTGAATATCCTCAGTGAGTTGGTGAATCAGTCGATGTCAGACATTAAAGTATCAACCACCACCACTAGATTGCTGCGTCATTAACTATTATTTCAAGTTCCTAAAGTTTTGTACGTCGAACCTAATTTAGGATCGACTTAGTGAAATAGAAGCCTCCACTGTGAAAACCACTCTACAACAGTAAATACCAGTAGCTGTTATCGCTCTTTCTAGTATTGATGTAGGAGGGTTCCTTCCTAACCTTTTCTTTGAATACGTGTGGAATGTCAACATCTTCATTATGTTATTATTTTCTCTTCGTGTTTACATGTAGTTTATGGCCATATACGTTGAAACACCGGTTCCTGTACGATCACCGAAGTTAAGCAATGTCGAGCCTGATCAATACCTCGATGGGTGATCGCTTGAGAATTCCAGGTACTGTAAACTTGAATGCGCGGATAGTGTAATGGTAATGACTCGGAATTGTTAAACGGAGTGCCGGGTTCTAATTCCACTTGGGTTCGTTATATTCACTTATGCGCAAATAACCTTGGTAAATGTATAACTCCACCACTTTTACTCCCCTTTATGGGTTAATTAATAAGACATATATAACTAAACCATTAGTATCTAAAAGAAAAGTTCTTACAATGTAAAAATGTTTTCTGGCTTTAAATAACACGCAAAGAGTTGATAAGACGTGGAAAACAAATAAATCCATCAACATGTTACATGTGATATTTATTTTAGACGTTACTGTTGTTGGAAATCCTCAAATGATTTGAGCTCTGTCATTTGTGATTCAGTTGTTTATTTATGATTCGGTAGCGTCAGTCCACAGTGTTTGAAGAAGTGTGGTCTTCAATAAAGACCCAATGGCTCAGTGAATAAAGGCATTAGTTAGATCCAGTGACAGGACCCAAAGAGTGTGAGTTCAATACCCGATTAAGGCAGTGGAGAACTTGGAGAGGGGAATTAACAGAAGATAAATGATAACTGACATCCATTAAAACATGGCACGTGGAACTAGAACAGTCTACCCGAATGAACGTAATAAAGGGTTCAGTTCAACATTCTAACCACCTGAGGAAGGCCGGAGCGTACAAGGGCCGAAACGTTGTAATAATATGGCGACAAAGATGAGGACAATAGGCCGAATAATGTAAATAGTGTACATAATACCTCATCTCAGAAATATAGACAGATACTGAAAGGCCGATACGTTGTAATAAATATGGCGACAAAGATGAGGACAATAGTCCGAATAATGTAAATAGTGTACATAATACCTCATCTCAGAAATATAGACAGATACAAAGGCTGTTGTAATAAATATGGCGACAAAGATGAACAATAGTCCGAATAATGTAAATAGTGTACATAATACCTCATCTCAGAAATATAGACAGATACTGAAAGGCCGATACGTTGTAATAAATATGGCGACAAAGATATAGGACAATAGTCCGAATAATGTAAATAGCGTACATAATACCTCATCTCAGAAATATAGACAGATACTGAAAGGCCGATACGTTGTAATAAATATGGCGACAAAGATGAGGACAATAGTCCGAATAATGTAAATAGTGTACATAATACCTCATCTCAGAAATATAGACAGATGCTGAAAGGCCGAAATGTTGTAATAAATATGGCGACAAAGATGAGGACAATAGTCCGAATAATGTAAATAGTGTACATAATACCTCATCTCAGAAATATAGACAGATACTGAAAGGCCGATACGTTGTAATAAATATGGCGACAAAGATGAGGACAATAGTCCGAATAATGTAAATAGTGTACATAATACCTCATCTCAGAAATATAGACAGATGCTGAAAGGCCGAAACGTTGTAATAAATATGGCGACAAAGATGAGGACAATAGTCCGAATAATGTAAATAGTGTACATAATACCTCATCTCAGAAATATAGACAGATACTGAAAGGCCGAAACGTTGTGTTAAATATGGCGACAAAGATGAGGACAATAGTCCGAATAATGTAAATTTATTCCGTCAAAGTCATTTTTAACCATTGATCTTAGAATGTGGTTGTATGACAGTTTATATATTTCTGAAAGGATTTGGCACTATACATAACATTCTTATAATCGACTTGATCTGACAAGGTTGTTTAAGAACATGATGAGGGTTTTCAGCTTAATAATGAGACTAAGTGTAGAAGTTTCACAAATGTTACCGTCTTGGAGAATAATTTGTCAAGTATACTCTCTTTGGTTAACGGTCAAATCACACTGAAAATACCGGTTACCTCGTTCGATCAAGTTAAGCAGCGTTGAGCCTAGTCAATAATTAGATGGGGAACTACTTAGAATAATTTGTCAAGTATACTCTCTTTGGTTAACGGTCAAATCACACTGAACATACCGGTTACCTCGTTCGATCAAGTTAAGCAGCGTTGAGCCTAGTCAATAATTAGATGGGGAACTACTTAGAACAGTGGGCATTGTAAGTAACAATCTGAAATAGGCGTTGGCTTTAAAAACCCATAAAAGGGTGATAAGACGTGAAAAAAAAACAAAAAAAAAACACAAATCAATCCTTGTAACGTGGCATTTCAGAGATTTTGTCAATTAGGTTACCAAGTACCAAGTAGATATTGTTTCATGCCTTTCTCAACTCGGCCGAATCGACAAAGACTTGGACCATTTCTTCAGAGTTAAGAGCTTATTAGATATTTGCGAAATGAAATTTGATAAAAACCGGAAAGGTTCAGACAAGAAAAGAAGCAGATTTGCTACTTAACTCGCTCGATCATCGAAGTTAAAAAACGTCTAATCGGGTCAGTACCTAGAAGAGTGACCGCTTTGGAATAACAAGTGCTGTAAGCTTTTATGTGTGTTCTATGCAATGGATAACGATTCGGAATTGGAACTCGCAGAGCCGAGTTCCAATTCCAGTCGAGTTCGTTACATCCATTTACGCGAAAATATCCTTGGAAAACGTCAGAATCCATCTCTTCCCCCCAATCTATGGGGTGATCAGTTGGACTTTTATCAGTAAAATATTATTATTTCCAACAAGATTCTTCCAATTTAAAAATATTTTCTTGCTTTAAATAACCTCCACAAAGTTGGTAAGCCTTAAAAATCAATCAGTCAATGTAACCCTCTATCTTGAGTGGCTCTTGGATCTTAGACCGGGTGAACATTATTGTAAAAAATTAACAAAGCTTAAAATAATAATAATGAAAGCGTTCTACTGAAAGTGTTCCACTATGCTATTAGTTCCCTAAATATTTTTTAGTGTACCGTCGGTATTAATTAAAAAAAAAAAGTTCGCGAGCGATATATCTCTGAAGAAGGATCGCCCGAAATGTTCCTTAGATGCTTTTTTAATGGTATTAATATGCTTTCATTAATATTATTTTAAGCTTTTTGAAAAAAAAAAAATGAAATAAGACTGACTTTTGAATTTTTGAATGATTTGATTTTTTACGTCTTATCAACCCATTATGGCTCATTTAAAACCGAAACATATTCTGGATTCCCACTATGGATTAAATAGCAGCGTAGACTGAATTTTCTAGTCTTCGCTTGCAACCTGTCTAAGTGAAGGGATTTCAAACCCTGGCGAAGGCAAAAGGAAACATGACCCTGCTATCTTTTCTATCTGTACATGTTAATAACATAATAATACCAATATGACAAAGAAAATCATTCGGGGAAATCGTGATCACTTAGTTCCTGAAGGAATACGACGTAAAAATATATTGGTTCGGAGAAAAATCACACAGATTGAAACTTAGTGAACTTGTTAAAAAAAGAAAAGACAGGAATACTGTTCTGAATAAGTCTTCGTCTAGTAGGCACCTCGAGGTGGTGTAATGGTTAGCAAGCTTATCTCGCTAGAAAAATTGCGCCTGAGTAGTGAGTTCGATTCTCACTGGATACTCCCTATTTTGGGAGGCATGGTGGAGTAATGGATAGCGGCTCGGATTGAGGAATCGAAGAGCCGAGTTCGAATTCCAGTCGAATCCTTTACATTCACTTACGTGCTAATATCCTTAGGAAAGGTATGACTCCCCAGCTATGGTTAAATAGCAGGACAGATTGGGTTCTATAACCTTGGATGGCAACTGATCTACCGCAGAAAGAAATGGCAACCTACTGCGGGGGAAAAATCGAAAGATACATGATCAACTAAGCGTATATCACGCACATAAATGACTGACTAATATTTTTGCAACTTTGTTTTTTTTTTTCTTCTCTTTTAACAGAAGATTTAAAAGTGGGATTACTGACAGAGACTAAAGCCTGGCGCCTACATTATGGTCGCGCCTGCAATATCAAGTACCGAACTGATATGGAAGAGAACTTTGCCTTTATTGAAGATCTTGGTAAGCGACTGTCTCGTCCCATTAAGGACTTAGACGACATCCGACACTGTATGGCGGCGCTGAAGGAGATTAGGGAGAATGAAATACGAATCGACATGAGCATTGGACCCATCGAGGTGAGGTTGACAGTCAACAATCATGTTTGTTAAACTTTTAAGTTTTAGGATATTTACCACTCTTTACAGGGACAATGTTTATTTATTTAAATGTGACATTAATAACAAAATATTATTTTTTTATAGGGATGAACGAGGTGAGAGGGACGTAAAATAAAATGACAGCTTACATCAATCTCCGGATTAAGTGGCAGATTAATGTCGATTCCATAATCTTTAGAGTTGATAATTTTTAATCGAAATGCCAAGAAATAGGAGGTTTTTTTTCTGAATCTTTTCAGTAGTTCCGAAAGAGATATTAGGGCGTATCTAAAATATTTTCTTTCATTTTACAGCTATTTGTTCCAAAGCTTATTTGATGATGATGATGATGATGATGATGATGATGATGATGATTTTTTACTACTACTACTACTACTACTACTACTACTACTACTACTACTACTACTACTACTACTACATATTTTCTTCCTGGTCTCAACCAGAAACCGAAACTTGAAAACGGTTTGATGGTGACATTTTCCACTGATGATTAAACACACACACACACGCGCACGCACACACACTCTCTCTCTCTCTCTCTCTTTACATAGATAAAGCTGTTAGTAACGTGTGAGCTTTACTTGTGAGTACCTTGTTTGTATTTCTTTAAGGCATGGGCTACCAGGAATCCATTCAATGACATCATCGGAACCTTTTTGCAATCAATCCGGGGGCCTCGACTACAACAACTGGAATTATTGATTTCCTCATCTTTCACAATTTTTATATTTCCACTTCAAGATCCTTGTATTTTGATAGTTTTTTTTTGAGGATCTTCAAAGATACATGACAATCTGATGGCACTAAAATGCCAATAAGAAAGCTTCATTCTGTTTTTGTGGTCTTTCATCACAATGTCCGGGTGATTAGCTTTGTTTGTTTTGTCTGTGTGTATTCTAAAATCTCATAAAACTATGA